CCCTCTCCATGGTCATCATTAATCATCGTATTCCTCATGTGATGCCGTATTATCATCGTTATATTCCTCATCCTTCTCCTCTGCATGATCCTCACCAAGATCATCAACGCATGACCTTCCTCGATAAAGTAGAGTCCGCCTGCTCCTCCTCCTCCTCCTCCTCCTCCTCCTCCTCATCATCATCATCAATGGCATCGTCATCATCGTCAGCAGCATCATCAACATCATCATCATCAGCATCATCAGCATCAGCAGCAGTAGCATCACCATCGTCAGCATCATCGTCAACATCATCATCATCATCATCATCATCATCATCATCATCATCATCATCATCATCATCATCATCATCGTCATCCCGCCCCCGTGCGGCAGAATACTTGACAGCTGTGCAAGTCGAAGGTAAATACAGAATGTAAGCCAGAGCGGACCCTAAACAATGATGGTTTGCAACCCATGCGGTACACGGCCGGACGACAAGTACGAAACCACAAGGGAACAACCTCTCGGGCCGAGAATACTGACCATCTGAACGGTCCAAGATCACCAGAGCCACAGGACCTTCAAAGCATGGCCGAAACCGCATCCCAATGCGTGCCGACAATTACGCATGCAACTCTGCAGCTCGCATTGCCACTAAAACCGTGAGACACGGCCGGAACGAGGAGGAAGGAGGACGAGGAGGGGAAGGACAAGCAAGAGGGAGGGGAGGAAGGAAACGGCGTGCTCTCGCCGAGTGGCCTGGTCACCATCATCATCATCATCATCATCATCATCATCATCATCATCATCATAATCATCATCATCATCATCATCATCATCATCATCAGCAGCAGCAGCAGCAGCATCACCATCCTCTTCCTCCTCCTCCTCCTCGTCATCATCATCATCATCATCATCATCATCATCATCATCATCATCATCATCGTCGGCATCAGCAGCAGCAGCATCATCACTATCGGAATCGTCATCATCATCAGCATCAGCATCAGTGTCATCGTCACCATCATCATCGTCATCATCATGATCAGTATCATCCTAATCGTCTTCATGATCAGCATCATCGTCAAAATCATCGTCATCGTCATGATCAACGTCATCGTCAGCATCAGCAACATCAGCATCAGCATCAGCATCACCATCACCATCACCATTATCATCATCATCATCATCACCAGAATCAGCATCATCATCAGTATCATCATTATCATCAGCATCATCGTCATCGTCAGCATCAACGTCATCATCAGCATCAACACCATCATCAGCATCATCATCGTCCTCCTCCCTATCCGTGTCATTGTCCTCAGAATCATCACCATCCTCACCATCATCATCAGCATCATGGTCGTCATCATCATCATCATCATAAGCATCATTTCTTCTCATGATCACTCCGCCGATATCCTACTCGTCCCCCCCTGGCTCCACCTCCCAATAACTGCCATAAGAATAGCATTCCTCATTATTACCCTTCTCCAGGTAAGGCCGTGCGTATCATACCAGCCCTCTGGGCGTAGGTGGTTTAGAGATCTGGCTATTACAATCCTCTTCCCCTTCGGGGAATGGTTTACTCTTTTCCCGCGATCTCCCCTGAAATCTGCACAGAGGTGTTCGCGAGCAGCCGAAGGGTCCAAGATGACCCTGGAGCGCTTCAGGAGTACCCAAAATAGCCAAAGATGGGTTCCGACATGGCACAAGGCAGACCAAAAGTTGACATGGCACAAGGCAGACCAAAAGTTGGACCAACTTAGCCTCCAATCTGCCCCCAAGAGGCCCCAACATCGCCAGACGATGACCCGGCGACCACGAAGCCTCTTAAGAATACCTCCGAGATGTTAAAGTCTGTCAAAGTCTTTAGATGTTTCAATGTATGCTGTTTTCTCGCCTTGTCGATTACGACTGGCTTCTGAGGCCTCAAGACGGCTCCCAGATCGCATGAGAAAGCCAGAGTTCTGCAGGACTCCAAGGCGTCCCAAAAAGGCCCCTGAAAGCGCCCAATAAAGTCAAACAATGTCAATAATTGCGGACAGTGTCTTTTTCAAAGTATGCATCTCTACTTCCCGTTTCCTCACAACTCGTCTGGCATTATTTTCTGAATAGGATGGTGGGATGCGTATGCCGTCAAGAATTGATACCACTACCAGGATGGATACTACAGCTCCTAGTCGTTACAGTAACGATCACAACCATGATCACGAACGGCACTAGTTCCCTGTGAGCAATCAGTACCACCATCATCATCCACATGAACATCAGCACCAGCGTCACCTTCGTCGCCCTCCGTATTCCTCATCCACCTCTCCATCCCTCTCCTCTTCTATCCCCACAGCCCACCCTTCTTCCTCACATTCCTACGTAATACGATGTTCCTCGCCACGTTTCTCTTCCATCTCTTTCTCTTCAACCTCCCCCTCTATACAGAAGCAGAGGCAGAATCCACCTGCTCTTTGGACAAGGTCTCGATCTCGGCGGCCATGCTAGCGATATCGCCAGACATCTTGCAGGGCGGTTTGCGAGAACACGCAGGAAGAGGGGGCGGGGGGGAGGGCCAGGAGTGAAGAGAAACCTGCCTACGAATAGGGAATGGAAGAGAATGAAAGACGCGGGCGTGATTTGACCAAGGCTTGGACACAGCCCGGCTACAGCTCCCCAGTGCGGTGCAACGATTGCATGAATAATGTTGAACGGAGTGCGGTACTGGGGACAGGGGCCAAAGATAACGTGGCCCTCATCTGCATGGCGCCCCCGGCGCCCACAACTTCCAATACACATTCCCCCCTCAAGAATGGGGAATCAAAAACTGCAAAAACAGATGCAAAAATATAGAAGAGGCAAACCAGAAGGCGGGAGGAGGAGCTGCATACCACATGAGCAGGATGCCTATCAGGAAGACAAGGTAAACCTGGAGCATAAGTAATACACGAGAAATGGGGTGGAGGAGGAGGAGGAGGACGCAGAAGGAGGGGCAGGCGGGAAGGGAAGGAAGCCACGCCTGTCAAAATATAGCCTGGCAAGAAAATCCAACCAATGTTGTAACGCGGCGCAACCATGAACAGGACCACTCAGCGCACGAGAACACACTGAGGGGTTTGCAGCACCCTGGAACGCTTCGCCAAGAAACGTCCGACCACATCCAAGGTTCAGCATTCCCGCACGCACTCTCACGACCTGGATCGCACATTGAAGTCGGCGATGAATTCACCATGGCCCATGGGGAGCTCCGTGCGAGGCACGATCTTCGTGGGGGGTGCGCCGAAATGAGCGCGGCGGCGCCATGCGAACGCACCCACTGGGGGCCAGAGACGCGTGAGGGGTGGGCCAAAGCGGGCGCGGTGGCGCCATGCGAACGCACCCACTGGGGCCCTATGTGGAGCCCACTGCGGGAGCAGGAAACCAGTGAGGGTGTGCCGAAATGGGCGCGGTAGCGCCATACGAACGCATGCACTGGGGCCCTAGGTGGAGCTCCGTGGGGGGCAAGAAAAGCGTGAGGGGCGGCCGGAGTGGGCGCGGCGGCGCCATGCGAACGCACCCACTGGGGCCATGGGTGGACCCCCCTGTGAGCCACGAAACGCGTGAGGGGCGTGCCAAAACTAAGCGCGCGAGGGGCGTGTCCAAATCAGCCATGACAGGAAGAGGAAGAGGAAGAGGAGGAGGAGGAGGAGGAGGAGGAGGAGGAGGAGGAGGAGGAGGAGGAGGAGGAGGAGGAGGAGGAGGGAGGAGGAGGAGGAGGAGGAGGAGGAGGAGGAGGAGAAAAGAGGAGAAGGATGGAGAGGAGGAGGTGGGGGAGGAGGAGGAGAGGGAGCAAAAACGGAGGCTCGCGGCGCCGCGGACTCAAGACGAGGACCCGGCACACAGGAGGGTTGAGCACGATACCGAATCCTGCTCGGGTGCCCCGCGATCGCTTCACATTGCTTCTCACGGGGGCGAGATCGGGGGGCGGCATATTGCCCCACGTGCGCAGGCCAAACATCCAAAGTCCGGGTTGCGGCAACATGCTGGGCCATGCTCGAGCGCCCCGCGATCATTTGCGCTGTATTTCACGAGGACGCGGTGGGTTCGGGCGGCGTAGTGCCCCACGTGCGCAAATCCAAAATTCGAAGTCCATGTTGCGGCAACATGTTGGACTATGCTCGAGCGCCCCGTAATGACTTTGCGTTGTGTTTCACGAGGACGCGGTGGGGGGGGCGGCACATTGCCCCACGTGCGCAGGTCCAAAATCCGAAGTCCACGGTGCGGCAAAATGTTGGACCATGCTCGAGCGCCCCGTAATGACTTTGCGTTCTTATTCGACAGGGGTGACGGGGGTGCCCTGGCACGCGCGGCGCCTCTCGCAGCCACCGCGCCCCTGGCTGGCGTCTGCGTTGGTTCCCCATGGATACCAATGGCGGTTCCTGCCTATGCTGAGACTCGGGTGCTACGTCTGTGGTGGGAGTGCGGGTGGGAGTGCGGGTGGGAGTGAGCGAGACGGCTGCCCTTCGGGGGGGGGGGGGTCGCTTGACCCCTCTCTCTACGCTATTCACCAGAGCCTGGACGGGGAGGTTCGCGAGCGCCAAAAATGGCGCAAGATGGCACCAAAGAAAGCTCAAGACGACCTCAAAGATGAGTCAAGATAGCGCAGCATCGTGCAATATGGCTTCCAACATGTTCCAGAAGGCTCCAGGATCGCCCCATAAAGACGGCTCCACGTGACCACGGAGCCTCCCGAGGTGGCCCCCAAGAGGCCAAAATCCTTCCGAACCCGAAAGAAATCAATAATGCTTGCCTTCTCGCTGTTTTGCTCCATGGCCATGGCCATGACTATGGCTATGTTTATGGCTATGGCGATGGCTATGGCTATGGCTATGGCTACGGCTATGGCTATGGCTATGGCTACGGCTATGGCTATCGCTATGGCCATGGCTATGGCTATGGCTATGGAAGCTTGGGCGGCTCGCCGCATCGCAACGCGAAGAAGAGACGATTCCTCCATGACTGGCCAGCGCTCGGGAGGGGAGAAGGACAGAGAGGGAGGAAAGGGGAGAGGAGAGGAGGGAGGGAGGGAAGGAGGGAAGGAAGGGGAGGGAGGGGAGGGAGGGAGGGAGAGAAGGGAGGGAGGGGAGAAGGGGGAGGGAGCGGAACAGCGGGACTCACGGGCGGACACCGACAATCGCCGTGGAGGACGGCCCCGGAGAGAGCACGGCGGTGGCGCAGGCCAGGAGTGCACGACATAGAGCCCACACATGGCTCAGGGCAGAGGAACAACTGCATAAAAATAATGAACTGGCAAAGGGTCCGCGTGGATTTCCTGGATCGGCGCTGAGTCCCCCTGCCTGGCGCGCGGAGCGCGCAAGGGGCGGCGGCTGAGGCGCCGCCAGGGGGGCCCTGGCGCACTTCCGAAAGTGTCTGTTTATGCTGCTTCCGTTTCCCGATGTAGGCCATGTTATGGGCGAGGGTGAGGGCAAGAGAGGTACAGTAGCAAGGATGCGCGGTAAGGATGCAAGGGCCTTGGAAAGCCATGCTCCCAGGGTGCCATAAGGGGCTGGCCAGTTGCCGGGGATGGGCCGAAGGTGCAAGGATGCAAGGGTACTCCAGATTTCGTAATAAAGGGAGGGGGGTCTCATTTCGGGGGGGGGGGGTCTCTTCCAGGCTATCTTGGAGGGCCTGGGGGGTCTGGGGACGATGTTTTGGAGGGTTCTCCCACGGGGGAGGTCTGAAAGGGCTTGTCTTGGAGGGTCCAGACCCCCTCCCTTGTATTACGAGACCTGGAGTAACCTTGGGAAGGTGCTCATCGTTACTGCGCGGGTCGACTGGTAGGGGGAGGAACGCGGGGTGGACGAGGATGAGCGCCGCGGCGGTGCAGCGAGGCCCCGCGGCGCGCCGAGGCGTCGGCGCCGGGCCTCCCCGATCCGCGCCACGAGCTTCTCGACCGCCACGGTCTTCTTGTCTCGCTTGATCTTGTTGTCCTTGGGTGCGAGGCTTCTCGGTTGGTGCCCAGACGTGGTCGCGTCGTGGGAAAAAAATCGCGGCGGGGGGGCTTTGCCCAGTGGGGGCCCTCGCTGGGCCCCCGGATCATTCAGAAACGACTCAGGATGAAGAGCTGGACCCGGGAATGGGTCGACACCTCTGGAGATCCACATTGTGATGAAATCGTGATGCGGTGGTCGTCTCATACAATGGGTGAGCCCTTCTTCTTAAACACGCTCTGAAGCCGACCGCCGCGCCAGCTAACTGGCCAAGCCTCGTCATCTCGAACCCTCCCGGTAATGGCAGAACACAAGACGGCGATTGAGGCGTCGCCTGCAACGAGCAGCCACACCCACCCGACTCCACCACCCCCATTCCTGGGGAGTCCCTGGGAGGCCATGGCGCCTCCCCGAGGCTCTCCAGGGCTTCCACGACGGCCCAGGACGCCCATCCAGGTCGCCAAGAGGCCTCCCAGACAGCCTAAGATCGCTCCAAGACGCCGAACAAAGATGGCCCAAAAACTGCCCAAGAGGCCTCAATGACACCACAAGAGGCTTCCAAGAGGCCTCCCAAGACGGCCCCAAGACGCAAAAATCATTGAATTGCCTCCAGCTCTTGAATGATTTGGGCGTTTTCGCCTTTTCGGCTTCCCGACGCCCCTAGACGGCCCAACATTTCCTCTTCCCCCTCCTCCTCCTCATCCTCCTCCTCCTCCTCCTCCTCCTCCTCATCCTCCTCTTCCTCCTCCTCCTCCTCCACCACCACCACCCCTCCTCCCCCTCCTCCCCCTCCTCCTCCTCCATCTCCTCCTCCTCCTCCTCCTCCTCCTCCTCCTCCTCCTCCTGCTCCTCCTCCTCCTCCTCCTCCTCCTCCTCCTCTTCATCCTCCTCCTCCTCCTCCTCCTCCTCCTCCTCCTCATCCTCCTCCTCCTCTTCGTAGTCTTATTATTATTGTCTTTATGCTTAGTATTAGTATTGGTAGTATTCGTCTTCGTCGTTTTCCTCATCATCTTCTTAGTATTATTAATCGTAGTATGAGTTGCCTTAGTTTTGTTGTTAGTGTTCGTATTATTATGAGTATTACTCGTGTGTCGCTTCTTCTTGTTCGTCTTAGTACTGTTATTATTCGTCGTAATCGTCCTAGTGGTTTGTTCTTGTTCGTATTACTAGTCGGTTGCTTATGGCTCTGCTGATGCTTCTGGTTATGCTTATGCTTACGCTTATGCGTCAAAATAGTGTTACTCATATTCGTAGTATCAGTATTCATCCTCCTCCTCCGCCTCCTCCTCCTCCTCCGCCTCCGCCTCCGCCTCCGCCTCCTCCTCCGCCTCCTCATCCTCCTCCTCCTCCGCCCCCTCCTCCTCCTCCTCCTCCTCCTCCTCCTCCCTCCTCCTCCTCCTCCCCTCCTCCGCCTCCTCCTCCGTCTCCTCATATTCCCCCTCCTCCTCGCCTTCCCCTCCGCCTCCTCCTCCCTCCTCCTCCTCCTCCTCCTCCTCCTCCTCCTCTTCATCATCCTCCTCCTCCTCCTCCTCCTCCTCCGTTTCCTCCTCCTCCT